TTTGAGAAGGGTAAATCAACATCAACATCCAACATCAAGCATCCAACTGTAGTTGCAAAGATTGAAGACACCATAGAACACCAGGAAATCCTTACAGGGGTTTTTATGGATATACAGGGGGCCTTTGACAACCTGAGCTATAACTCCATAGATGCAGCAGTCAGAAGCAGGGGAATCTCCCCCCCCCCCCACATTGCATCTTGAATTAAGGCTCTTCTGAATAGCAGGGAGGTGACAGTAGAAATTGGTGGCTGCTCAGCAGCAATCACAGCATGCCAAGGTTTGCCTCCAAGGAGGAGTCATCTCGCCCTTGTTGTGGGCTTTAGTGGTGGATGACCTTTTGAGAGAGGCAAAAGGGAGAGATATGGACATCCAAGCCTTTGCAGACAATTTAGTGCTCACAGTTAGAGGAAAACACGCAGCCACTGTAAAGAACCTCACCCAGACAGCTGTGAGCTTCGTCGAGGGATGGTGCTCAAAAGAGGGCCTCACTATCAACCTAGACAAAATGGAGCTAATCTCCTTCACAAAAAGGCGAGCAACACTAAATGCCCCTGAAATTCAGGGGAAAAGAGTGAAGTCAGTGAAGGAAACAAAATACCTTGGAATCTTCCTTGACCAGAAACTTAGAGCAGGCACCTTAACTATGTACTTGCAAAAGGCATAGGAGCCTTCGAAGCCTATTATATAGAGGAAGCTTTGCTAAGAAATAGGGACTTAGCCCCAATCTAATATATTGGACTCATGAGACCATAGTCAAGCCAATGGTTACATACGCACCCCTTAGTGGTGTCCAAAGGCACAGCAGACAATGGCTGGCAGGAAGCTGCAGCTGCAGAGGCTAGCGTGTACGGGGATCTGTGGGACAATGAAATCCTGTCCCACAGCTGCAATGGAAGCAATACTCAACATGCTTCCACTAGGGCTGGGAGTCAAGAAACTTGCAGCCAATGCTGCCCTCAAAATGGGTAGCAGAGGTGAGATAAAGCTTCAGAGGGAGTCTGGTCACCTGTCCATACTAAGGGACTTCCCGAGCTAAAAATGCCAGACCTCATGACTAAAGACATAAGTAATACGACTTAGAGATTCCTTACCAAGTGGCCATAGAAGAAGGGAATAACTGGCAACAGAGCATCCTTATGATGAACAGAGCATGCTTGGTATATTACACGGATGGAATTTGGGAGGATGAGAGTTCAGGGTTGGGGTGTATGGCAACAAAACCAATATCTCCCTAGCCTTGGGCAGCACAGTGACAGTTTTTTCAATCGGAGGTCCTGACAATTGAGTGCTGTGCAAATACCATCTGGACAAGAACCTGAGAAAGGGGAAAATACAGATCCTCTCAGACAGCCAAGCTGTGCAATAAAGGTGCTGGGGTCTTATCTGACAGAGTTACAAACAGTAAGAGGGTGTAAAAACATCCTGAAAATGCTTGCTAAGCGGAAACAAGTCAAAATAGCTTGGGTTCCTGGACACTACACACACTTGGGGCATGAGGGAAATGAGAAAGCCGATGCTTTGGCCAGGAGAGGCACAGAAGAACAGCTGACAGGGCCATAACCTTACTGCGGTACCCCGATTAGCTCAGGAGTAGCCAAAGTCCGAGACTGGGTTAAGGTCCGGAAGGGGGAAGCTTGGAGGACCAACCCAGGACTAAGGACTTCAAAAACACTAATAGATCCCTCAATAAAAGACTGGAAAGGCGTATTGAGCCTAAAAAAGGGGGACATCAGATTACAAGTAGGGATGCTAACTGTGCAAGGGCCTATTAGGAAACACCTTAGAACCAAAGGGAGGTCACAGACAGACCAATGCAGGTTCTGCGAAAACGAGGAGGAAACCTCTGAACACGTATGACTGGATTGTCCGGCGTTGTTTGTAGGTGGTCGTAAACTATTGCACAATGTTTACGATCTTCAGCATGGTATAGGATGACTGATGTTTATTTATTTATTTCCCCAACGGATTGCACCTTTTTACAAAATATGTGTGTACAATATGAGATGGCATTTGCAGTAGTAGGCCTACTAACTAGAAAAGTAATAACAATGGTAATAACAAAGTGATAATAAATAGTAATAGCAAGTAATAACAAATAGTGATAACAATAGTAATAACAAAGTAATAACAAATATTAATAACAGAAGAATAAACTAAAAAGAGTAACAATAACAAAAATATGAACAGCAGGTTTCAACGATGACAAGACAAATATGCAGATGTGCTGGAGTGTAGTTACTCAAGTGATCAGGGAGACCTTCTTTTTGAATGGGAGGGGCTTCTCACCGAAGAAATCCAGTTGAGCAGCCGCCGTGCTACCAGCCTTGAGTAGACGGCAAATTCCGCTGTTGTAAGAATAGTAGGCTGGGAGGAAGCGTCTGCTGAATATAGTCCTGGAGCGGGTGCCTCTGGGCGTGGTAATGTCGATACCACTCAGGATGTCGGGGCAATCGACAAACCCGTTAACCAGCTTGTAGAGCATGAATATGTCGGCATGATGACGTCGGAGTGACAAAGGCAGAAGATCGAAGGACTTCTCCACATCGTCAACCGGGGTAGTGCGGTAGGTAAAACCAAGTCTCGGTCCAAGCATCCGTATGAAGCGGGTTTGTATGCTCTCAGTTGGCTCAATTTCAGTTGGCTGACGTGGTTCTTCTGGAAGGGAGACCAGATGATAGACCCATACTCCAGCAGCGGGCGTACCAGGGACTTGTAGAGCGTGATCAAGGTGAAAGGTGAGTTGAAATTCCTAGTTGATCTGAATATGAAACCAAGCAGGGAGCTAGCTTTGGTTGTAATGTGGGCAATGTGCTCATGAGGGTTGAGCGAAGGGATCATTGTCACTCCGAGATCTCGTACCCTGTCCACTCTCTTCAGTGTAGATCCATTGAGGACATATTCATATTGGACTGGGGCTGCACCACGTTTGTAGGAGATGACGACACATTTCAAGACGTTGAGCTCCATGAAGTTTTCCTTGCACCAGGCGTCGATGTTAGTGAGAGAAAGTTGGAGGTGCTCAAAGTCAGAAGCCAATGACACCGAGCCAAATACCTTAATATCATCGGCGAACATGAGAAATTTGGTGAGGATGACGTTGCCAATGTCATTCATGAACAGATTAAACAGCAAGGGACCGAGGTGGGACCCTTGCGGGACTCCAGATAGGACACTGAACTTGACTACAAGGGTTCTGTTGGTCAAGTAGCTGTTTAACCACTCAAGCAGGGTTTAACTACTCAACAACTGCTAGGCTGGTTTATCAGTTCCATTTCAGGCAATGACCAAAGTTAAGAAAATTTTGCCTGTGGATCGCTATGTGACTGAACAAATGATTGGCAAACTGGACATCTTTAATAACTGGACATCTTTAAACTTGGACACGGCAAACTGAAAGGACACGTTTTTTCAAATTTAATTACCGTTTTCCTGGAAACTGATGATCATATTTTATCCATACAAATACTTCCTTGCATACACATCTATCAACTGACAATAGATTTCATTAGGGGTTGATTTACTTCTCACAGATAATCAATCATAGAATGGAATTCATAATTATTGAAATGAGCTTTGATTTTCCCTCACATTGATTTGGCTATGACGAGACTTATTGTCACATCGGGGTGGTGTGGGAACAGATGTGAGGAATAGTAGTGGATGAGGTAAAGCACACAAAGTTGGCCTCAGATTTAAACTAGCTCACTAAGCTACAAAGGGAGCTCGTTGGAGAACTTAATTCATCGACGGTCCTCATATTTTAAAAGTATTTGTGTTTGACATAGGCCTACTTGTATTTAAACCTGATTTATTATATTCTCAGTGCATATGAGGCCAGAACATCGATAATAAAAGCTTATAGTTTACATTAGGTACTTTTTGAACAGCGTCATGTATTTCAGTAAAAATTTGGTAGGAATTTGTTACATATTATTGTCTGTAATATTTAATTTGGTATATTACATGGTGTATTTGTTTTGGAGTTGAAGTAATTCCCCAGCATACAAACAGGGCCTATGGCTACCTATACAATAAGTTCCTCAGACCTCAAAGTTATTTTGTGGTGTGACAACAATAGGCCTAACTTACTATGACTGATTAGTAGGTACCGGTATGATTCAATTTATTTCAGTATCGATAGGCTATATATTGATATTTAATCCGATAATATAATTGCAGGTTCTCTGCAGAAATATACCCCCATTAAAAACTGTACCTATCTTAATCTACAACAGTTTCAATCAATCAATCAATCAATCAATCAATCAATCAATCAATCAATTTATTTATTGAACTATAATGAATACATGCATATTATACAATAGGTGCAAAAACCATACTTCAAAAGGGAAAACCATTAAGCGCAAGTATTGGTTCAAGTAACCTCATATTATATTACCCTTTTACCGGTGGAAATCTTAAGAACTAGTTTAAAAATTATATTGTAGCCTATATCTTGCTGTCAAATAAGGAATGGAGTATCAAAGAGAAGCCAATATAATTGCATCAAGCAGTTGAATACTGATCTGATACTTGAACAGTGACAAGCCATATGTTTACTTCCTATGAACGGGGTTTTCACTATCCATGGATTATGCCACTAAAATCATGTAAGTTTTAAGTTTAATGAGTTAAAGTTACACAAAATAAATTAGTTTTGGCACCAGACAAGAAAAGCTGGATTCTGAACATGTATCTACTTAGCATTTTAGGTGTCCTACCTAAGTTAATTATATGTGTCTTTGATCAAATATGAACAGGGTTTATAGGTGAGTTGTGGAAACTGAACAATAGCCAGTGTTTATTATGAGAATGACAAAACTACAAACAAAGTAAAATTTACACAAAACTTTGCTGTCCCCTGGATTAATGATATAGGCTACCACTGTCCTGTTTCACATAACCTACTTAGAAACTAAACCTACATTATAGGTTAAATGGTGTTTCTTGATAGGTTTCAACTCTTTCAGTAAGATAAGGGGTTTAGATTTACTCACCTAAACGCACAAGTGAGCTTAAGTCTTGGAAAAATTAAACTAAAACCATACTTTATATAGACATCAAACTTAAAATTTGTCTGCGGGATTTCACTTCACCAATTCACATGACAGAACCTAAAAAGTGTCAGTGTCACACAAAACGAAAACAGAAGGGATGAAGAAGAAGAAGCTGACAACATATTGAAACCCATAGAGTATATTGGGTGGACCACAATTTATATTTTAAAGGCTGTGACTTTTTAAGACCATGGATTTAAAACATTTACTCACTTGTCGAACATAATTATGGGATTGCATACCATAGATTGAACAAATTACCATAGATAAAACATACTCCTCAAAAAATTATTTTCAATCACGGCCGCCTTTAACTCCAAAGGTGGCCGTGCTTTCAATAGTACAAGCATATAGACTAACCAACACAGGGAATATAGGGTTTTTTGTGTTTATCATTGACCATACACAGAATAGACTTCCCATGTAATGTAAAAATTTGAAGAAAAAAACGTGGTGCAATCTGTTGAGATGGTCTAACAATTAATAAAAATATTCTGTGTAAAGTGATAAATCAATCAGCAGTTTGCTATGATATTGCATTGATTTTAGCGAATTTCCCTATAGGGTAGTAGCTATTCACCGTAGATATAAGACCATGGTTCGTACCATCCTGGCGGCTTTCAACCAAAAAGTGGCTCTAAGGTGACTAGGAGTCAGCGTTCTATGATGAAACGCAAAAACTCATGACTGTTTGTAAAAATACAAACACTAAACAGTAGTACAATATTAGGGTACGAAACTTCATGGACGTCCAATGGCCTGTTCGTCAACTGGGATTGTTAAAATGCCTAAATCTTTCCATTGTTAGACATTGCAGCATTAATCCTGCTTTGTTTGCAGTTAGTAAGTGTACTTAGGCTTCTTTTGTCTTAGTATTAACCATTGATTTAAGTAATATTTAACAAGATACATCTTTTACCTAAGACTGTTTTTATAAACTAGCCATTTCAATTCAATTTTAGAATTGAAAAGATTCACTTTACCGCATTGTTTACTTACTTTACAGCGCTGGTGAGGTAAAGTACCAGACAATGGGGTTCAAGAGAGAAAAGAAGTAAAATTGTATGTTTCAAACGCCAACTTATCAGCTGGTAACGACCAATTCAAATTTTGACGTGTTATCAAGGTTTAGACCCATTACATGCCCTATTAGCAAAGACAAATCACCCGAATTATATGCCATCGTCTCTTTCTAAGGCATTCTGGCTAAAAGGAAAGACAAGACCCTGCCGTATAGGCCTACACCACAAATTAATGCCATCAAACAATACGATAAAAAGCCTTGAACGTTTTTTCTCTTTTATTATTTGTTGTTTGATAAGGTGATTTTTATAGAAAAAGCAATTAGGTAGATTACCTTTTTTGATCTTACATTAGCAATGGCTTTGTCAGGGTCGTTTATATAAATACTTGTATTTTAAAATTGTTCTTTATCCTGTTCTTATCTCCACTTCACTCTGTAACGCAGAATCTACAGATCTTCTAAACGCAATAAAATCCTTTTCAAGAAGCGAGATAAATGATGGCTTTTCTGCGTCGGCAATTAATGCTAACAGCACAGACTTTCCTTGTTAAGAAGATACTATTATCCATAAATATACCACGTGTAACGTTAACATTTTTCCAAATAGGCTTGATGATTCGCCGTATGAAGTATAACAAGCCCATACTGTAGTGGATTGATTGAATTGGCTAGACAAGTATCCGAAATGTTTGGATCAAAAATTAATCCTCTGTAAAATATAATTGTTGGTGAGTTATGGATAAAAAATAATCTTATCTTATCCATCGTTATTTAATTATTGGGTGTCTTTATCCAATGTATGTGTTCCGTCATACTTTGTTTCATACGTTCACAATTAATTAATTACAATTAAATATAAAATGTTGTTGTAAACCGTTTCTCAAATTTGTGAAAACACCACAGCATAAGCACTATTGATTATTGACGTAAGGCTGGTAAAATATAAAATATATATAATACAATATAAGTACGTGTCTCTGAAGAGAGGGGTGAAATAAACATTTACCAGACACAAATACTTCGTGTGTCTGTGGACACGTTCACACTATTGTTTTTTTTTCATATCACGGCTGTATGATTTTGGAAAAAACATTTAAGCGCTTAAACATTTTTACTTGTGAACTTTCGTTTAAGTGTGATTTTGGAATGATTACGAAATGGTTGCTTGGACAGTATAAAGGCTTTAGAGAATAATATACTTTTATTTGGGTATTAGAGTTCAATTGGTACAATTTGTTAGTGTCAAATACCACTGAAACGGTTAAGAAAATTCGCACACAAATTACGAATATTGAGGTCGAACTACTGCAAATGGTTTCTGTGTTCGCAAATAATTAGTGCAATAATTAATTATCATTAGTTAAACTAAATCATAATTGAACAAGAAGAAACGACATTTGCATGCTCATGCCAAATAATCGAAATCAAGGCGTTATTAGATTAGGAACTTTCTGGAACATTGATGTCATGTATGAAAGTGTTAACCAATAACGCATCGATCTCTGTGACCTGCGCCCCTCTAAAGCGCAAGGGGTGTAACTGGTTTAACCCCTGTACGAGTTTTATTATTTAAAACAGGAAGAGGGTTTAGGTCCAGGTGGCCGGGCTTGGGGATGCTGTGCCGAAGAGGGTCGGGATGCGATGGGGTTCGAACCACCTGCTTTGTCCCGCTTGCAAACTATTCCGGGTCTGCACTTCCGTTTTCGCTCGACCCATCTCCCCGACATTTAACATTCCTAGAGATATGTATATTAGGGTCATAGTAAGATTTGAGTATGGTTACGGTAACTGATCTTATAGAAACATCACATTCACGTGACACCAGAAACATCTAACAACACATTATTGCACTCGATATATTTGTCTCATGAGGATGTAAAGACGGTGACACACTATCGCTCTTTTCCCCGATCAAGACCCCGAACCGAGCAGGGTGAAGGGAGAAGGGAGAAGGGAGGTCGAAGCACAGAAAACATACTAATAGTATGTTTTCTGTGTTCGAAGGGAGCATGTTTGACACATTATTGCACTCGATATATTTGTCTCATGAGGATGTAAAGACGGTGACACACTATCGCTCTTTTCCCCGATCAAGACCCCGAACCGAGCAGGGTGAAGGGAGAAGGGAGAAGGGAGGTCGAAGCACAGAAAACATACTAATAGTATGTTTTCTGTGTTCGAAGGGAGCATGTTCGATAGATCCAGACGGCGAACCAGACATCAGGCCGAGCAGGGAGACGAGCGCTCTGGAAGCGGTTTTTTGGCGAAAGATCAAAGAAAAGATCGGTCCGATTTACGGAGTGATGTACGATAGTGTGTCACGGTATATTTTTGCCCCATACGCCGTCGCGAGCGCCGCACCGAGCGGCCGCCTGCGCTAGCGTTGATAGGTCTAATTTAATATGGACATTAAACTCTTTAATTGGTAAAATAAATAAATGTTGGTTATTTATGTTGTAATTATTTAGTGTGGCCTGTTTGGTCTAGGTTGAAAATGTATTTTACAAGTTGAAACCGCGAAGGCGTGAAATCAATTATATCAATAATGTTAAACTTGAATTAAGTAATTGATGGTATACTTAAATTCTTTCAAATTTAATATAAACATTAATTTTAATAAAGGCAATTAAAATTATCATTCTGTAACATGTTATTGCAGGTTTTATTACTGTTTTATTATTACTGCCTCCGCGCTCTCACTCACACACACTCCCCATCTCTCTCTAAACTCCCTTTTGCCACGCTCGGCAGAACTCGTCTGGTCTTGGTCATGTTCGGACTGAAATTTTACTGATATTTACCTCCCTTCTCCCTTCTCAGTATAACAGTATCAGCGTAAATATATGTTTTAATTGTTATAAGACGTTTCTTTTATTTACTTTCCGTAATATATATTAAGCACATTCGCTATTGAAACATTTTACCAATACCTATTTCTAGAAGGTACGACTCTTAATGAGCAACGCTTTAGAAAACTATCCCACCCAAAGAGAGAATAAGAACTACCTAATGTTATTGAGAACAGTATTCGTATTTTTAAATGTTTACTTTAATAACTAAACTATTAATGTGCGGTATCACATCCATGTACATAGTGGAGAGGTTTCTTCTTCGGGACGTTCCAATCCATTGAGCTGAAACCCTACTAGACTGAGGCTGTTTTAGGACTTCGTCCTCTTCCAGTGGTGCAATCGGTTAGCGCACGGTACTTATAGTGGAGAGGCTCTTCTTCCGGGAGGAGGTTTCGCAGCATAGAACCCACCTCAGAACCCCCTGCTTCACTTTCCCAGATTGAGGAGGAGACACTCCAGTCGCTCATCTTACGTTGGCATAAAGTTATAAAAATATATCCCTCTTGCCTCAAAATGTATGCTTGTTTATTTTTAAAGAAAGAAATTAGAGAACTTTTGACTCAACTACTAAGGTAATTGTTTGATTGTTAGGATAGCGGCGTTCGTTGTTTGGTTGATTGCTTATGTGCACTATTGTTTTAAGTCCTGGGGTTTCCCCAACCACAGGCATATAGCCCATTGCCCATTTGAGGATTCAATTTCATAATTCGTTTTTTACCATTGTACTGATTCTCTGTACCGAAATAATAAATAATTCATTCATTCATTCTTGTAAATCTAATTTGTTTGTAGCTTGAAAAGATTATTAGTAGTTTAAAATGAGAATATATTAAAAAGCTGTTACTGTACTGTGAACTGCAGTATTAATAGAAACACTTTAATTTATTTTTTTATTCAATGTAAACAAAATTGGAAAACACTTTTGTTTTATCTTATACTCTGTCAATACAACTCTTATTCAGCTGCGTAGTAATAATGCTCAGTTAGTTAATAGGATTAACAGGAACATCCTAATTATGTGTCCAATTTATGTAAGGACACTTTTTTGATCTTGAGAACATTCAACAGCTTTTTGGTGGTTCGAAACAGGACCCAACTGCCATATTTATAATATCAATGTGATTTTGGTTAATGAACCAGCTGTCCTCTTGGGCAGTAACAAGGATATCATTTAATTAATCCAACTCTAATCTT